ATATCTGAGCGCAGGATAAGACTCTCCTCAGGGATGGATGAGAAGACAGCCATGACACAAACTCAGTGTAGCAGATGAATGTGTTTGTGTGGATGTGAAAACCAGAGCAAAGAAACAGCAGCGACTGCTCTGGAAGATCACTGACAATTACAAACTGCCAGGTTACAGTTCAGGCTGTGAAACACTGTCTTGAAATGATAAAGTTGATAATGTGCAGCTTTCAATCTTTGGTAAAGCATTCATGTGCCACGTCCACATGCAGCTGTCTAATGATCTGTCCAGTGAAACTGGGGATGTTCAGGAGTGAATCTCATGAAATGTCAAGAACATGCCTGTCATGTTACAGTAAAATCAAAACACACAATCCCTCTCATTTTATTTTTTAAATTACTAATTGTAAGTTATTTTAGTTTTTAAGTATTTGTTTATCATAGTTGTCTTTTCTAATGAATGTAATTTATGCTGATTTTAAATAATCAAAATTATGTTTGGATAGATGTTTGTCATGCATAATTGTCATAAAAATGCAAAAATTGTCCTAAAAAAATATCATGCTAAAATAAGACACATTTAGGCATTTTTGGAGTAAAATATGACCCTGATATTTCTTCATGAGTTTCCCCTTTAGAGACAAGAAATAATTATTACTGTAAAGAGCATTTATTCATATTGCAAAAACTGTGAAGTTTTTTTTTTTTTTTTTTAGATTATTGCTTTTGGTTTGTGTTTTGTGATGTTTTTCACAAGTGCTTTATATATGGAACATGCATTGGTGAATTCAAATAGAAGCAGCTTAGTACTCCACATGAATGTGTGTATCTGAACTTTTACGTCATTAGAAAAATGTTCTTATTTTGAAGCCTCTGGTGTTTTTATGTTGTGTACACTCATTTGTTCTGTGCGCAGAATGATGTTCATATTAAAGAAATATAAACAAGCGAGATCTTACATGTGGCATCATTCAGAAATTAATTAGCACTTTCCACGAACGGGGCAAGTTGACAGATGCATCTAGCTTCTAATAGAAAATGATCAATGCAGAGGAAAGTTCAGAAGATGCTAGTTTTAAAATCAAAAGTCAGCCAATCCAACACTCCTCTCAAACTTACTGTAAAATTATCTTGTGAGAAATACACACAACTGAATTTACATGATTGCAAAATCAAATATTCTTTGTGAAATTCATTAAAAAATCAACCAAAACTAGAGAAACTGATTGAAATCTGCAACCCTGTCACCCATTCTGTCATTTTGTTTTAATGCTATATATTTTAATATATTTTTTTACATTTAATGTTCATCAAACCTATAAAACTAAATACTACATGAACAGTTTTATTTGACATTAATTTGAGGCAAACAATAAGCACTCTTTACTCAGTTACAAAATGAATACCTTTTCAGAGTTCGAAGCCTTGTTTTGTACCTCTTTGTTAAGTAGTACCTGAGTGAAATAAACCTCCATCACAACCTCAATTGAGCAATCAACCCACCAGAAAACAATGCTCATTAAAGCAGTATATACTGCATTTCTTGCCATTTTTATTGTGCTTTTGTTGGTCAGAAAACAAGATGGACAACCCTATAGAACATACTGTAGTCATGTATCTGATGTGTTTTATTTCATGTTTAGTCCTGCCATTGGTCGAGTAAAATTACAAAGAAATCAATTGCAATTTTCATTCTAGTTAAATATGCAGAACCCCTGATGTCTGCGCTACATTGGGAGAGAGTAAAGGGCAAAGGTCAGGGAGAGCGTCCACCGAATGTGCAAGTCAGTCACTAATTGACTTACTGGAATTCAAGCCAAACAGAACAGACTGTTAAACCCAGACATGAATGTGCCCATGAAACTCAATGAATCGGGCCACGTATGGAAATCGTTGAAAAACATTAAAATGTATATAAACTCCTATATTTGGGGAAACAAAAGAAAAATGTCTCAAGATTTCCAGGAGGTGGCACCATAATGCTGGTTCAAACAGCATTTAGTTCCTACAAACTTCAAAAAAAGCAAAAAAAAAAAACCAAAAAAACTATGATTACTTTTTGGCACATTTGTTCATTTTTCTTCATGGCCTTTCATCTCCTGCTAGAACAGCTATAATGTAATGTACATGACAAAATCAATATTATGAAAGATGAAAGTGACGTGTACAGAACGAAAATCAGCTCAAGTGTTATCAGAAGATGAGAGGAGGAAAACTGTGGTACATATGGCTCAGAAATGCAGTTCCAAGTCTCCAGAGTGGGACGACATTCACGAAAACATACGCACACTTGCTTTTATTCTTCAGGATGAGCTGATAAAAGGGACATGGTTTTTTAGTGGGAAGGGAAATGAAATAGGTCATCTCAAAATCAAAACTTGAGCCTTTCTGTAAGATTTTATGTAAAAAAAACTTAGTGGGGTGAAGGAATCTGTGTATTTTTCCAGGGCTCATCTGCATTGGAGGACATATATAGTAAGTAAGTAATTCACAGTTATCTTGGGGCCCGACTCCAAACGGCCCCTCAACCCCTTCATTCAAGCCCTTGTACAGTCAAACAGACTGACGGTTTAACGCAGAGCGGCTGCTTTAGGAGGGGAGGTCAGGATCTCTGTTAACGAGCTAAATAGTAACTAGTCTTCATCTAGGATGGGAGAATAAAATTTAATCAGAGCAATCGCCATATTTACAGAACAGAAATGAGGCTATGAGGTGATAAAAGTACAGTCCGTTCAATTTTGTACCGTTTTAAGATCACAAGTCATATTTGATTTTTAAAACCCTTATTTTATGCTGGAAATTTGTATATTTTAAATGCCAATCAGAGAATTTTTTTTTATATAAACATCTTAGAGACAGTATCGATACCATATCAGTAGATTTTTAATTTATTAATATTGATCAATATTAACATTCATTAAAACTATTTAATTCATTTTAAAGAAGTCTGTTGTGCTCACTAAAGCTGCATTTTTGGGATCAAAACATGCAGTAAAAACATTAATTTTATTACAATTTAAAAAAACATTTTGCTATTTTAATATATTTTAAAATATCATTTATTCCTGTGGTGCAAAGCTGAATTTTCAGCATCATTACTCCAGTGTCACATGATCCTTCAGAAATCATTTTAATATGCTGATTTGCCGCTCAAGAAACATTTCTTATCGTCATCAATGTTGAAAAGTTTTCCCACTTAATATTTCCTGTGGAAACTGTGATACGGGATTCTTTGATGAATAGAAAATTTTACAAGAACAGCATTTATTTGAAATAGAAATCTTTTATAACATTATGTCTTTAATGTCACTTTTGATCAATGTAATGCATTTTTGCTGACTAAAAGATTCATTTCTATCCCCCCAAAAATAAATACAAAAATTAAATGAATATTTACCAGTAATGAATAACTGTAAAATACAATTTTTGGCAAATCCCAGAATTAATATCCATTTTCATTCTGTACATTATACTGTTGTAATGTCTAAAATCACAATTGATTTCGTATCCCCAGTGAAATCAGGTTTAGAATGCCACTCCCATATTTAACAGTGTGTCCAAAACAGCACAAAGAAGAGGAGTGACATCTGTATTTACCTGCAGTGTGAACAGGCTGTACTTCTCTTTTCGTTCATATCAAGATAAATATGGCATCTACTCCGACTCAACACTGCTCCTACAGAAGGGCTTTTTTCCCCACACAGTGTTACTGGCACTGAGAAGCTCTCATCATCCTTGGCTGTTTGCATGCGGCCTGATTTCAGATGCAAGAGAAGAGATGACCAATGGTGAAGCATTAACTCATTCTGCTGTCACAGTCAAACACACACACACACACGTTAGGTATTAAAAACAGGACTGATGGTGCACAGAAGAGAAATGAGCGTCTGTGTTTGCATGTCCCAGGTTTCGTTTAAATATGCATCTGTTGAGCCCTAATGGAGGGTTGAATGGGACAGGTGGGAATGAATGGCTTGAAATGCTAGCACCTTGTTTTGTGCAAATCACCCCCGAACTCCATACAAAGAGTAAAATCTTCACCTTTTTTGACAGGTGGTTAACTATGCATATATGACAAACATTCATATATAGATCTATATATTTTTTGATTTTTAAAAATTTATATGAAAACTATCGTATATACATTGCTTGTGATTGATATAAAAAGCAAATATTTTAGTCATTTGTCCATATATACAGCTGCAGGATATCTGGCCTTCTTTTTCATTGATTGTTTTTTCATGAAATCTTTTGTCCTCAGCTTCTCCTTTTAACTACTGTAGTTGTCATTCTAAAATTCATTCTAAATGCATTCATAAAAATTCTTCTAAGCATCATATTTCACAAGCTACAAAATCCACCTATGAGGAGAAAGAAAAAATAAATAAAGGCCAAAACAAATAAGCCAAATGCTTCAGTGCTTACAGCAGGTTAACATATAAGCCATACGGTGGAAACTTTTACAATTATAGATTCTGTCTTCGAACACCAGTCGTTACCATCCAGATGTTTCTCGTCCCACAGCGGTTCTGTCATGCACACCGCACACACGTTTGTTCACACACACACTTATTGCAGAGTTTCTTATTCGGAATTTCTTATTACCAGATTAAGAAGACTTATTTAGATCAAATTTGGATAAGAAACCGGTGTGGTTGTGCGCACGAAAGTGTTTAACTGTACTGGGAACGCGTTTTTGTTTCATACGAAAAAACTACAAATGAATAACAGACAAAAGTGGTGTGTGTGAAGGGCTCAAACATGAACACACCGTTACAGCCCAATTAAAGATGGAAGACCAGGTTCTGTAAAACTATAAGAAAGAAAAGCAAAAAAGGGGGTGGTACAATGCAAATCGATCAAATCAGTCAACCGTCATTCCGTATGGTGATGTAACGTTTCATGCTACAGTCCATCATAAAAGGATAACCATCAAAAAAATTTTTCAAGAGTGTTTTTTGTCTTTATATATATAATATCATATATAAGTTTTATATTTATGACAAAAATGTTATATTCATATATCTATATACCTTTTTTCTGTCAAATATATATGTATATAATTGGTAAAAATGGGTAAATTATTGGTGGAATAAATCATCTAGGGAGAGAGACAGGTGCAGTTTTGCACGGTCCGTCCTGTTGTTTGCTGTCTCCCTCCATTTTCAAAGCTATTTAAATACATTGAGATATTCTATCTAATGTCATATTTCCTTTGGAAACCCAAAGTTAAGAGTCTGATTATGAAAAAGCCACTAGTGTTGGTTAAACATTCTCCGAGTGTAGTACGTCCCTCAGCCAGAAGGGGGCAGGCGGTAAACAGAGAGGATCTGGCCACGCCCACTCTGCTCATCCACTCCTAAAAAAATACTCTGAAAGGCAACTGAACTTCCTTTTCTCAACAGCATCCCTCCTTTCTCTGAATGAATGACAGCAGTAAGAAGCGAATAGTAAAGTAGAAAAAAATGGATTTGGGACTAAGGGATTAGTGGGTGTTTATCATGCTAATGAAACTGAAGAATCAATTACGAGATGTTTTGAATAGGCTTTGTTTTCGACAGACAGCAAAAATCTGAGTTTTGTAGCATTTGAGCATTATTTTGGAACCCCATTACTGTAAGTGGTTTGAAATCAGATTCAAATGCAGTGTGAACTGTCAAATTGGATTTCAAGTAGTTTTTCCTAATTCGGGATGATATTTACTTTGCAAATACACTAATTTTCTCTCGCTTTTTCACCATATAGGAAACTATACAGTGAATAGTAAATAAGTTGAATCAATGAGCGGTTTTAAGTATTTGCATAAATGCATTAAATAAATGCATCATGAGTTTGGCACCATGGCAAGACGCCGTCAGCAGATCTGATTTTGCAAAATAAATCAGATTTTTGTGCAGTGTGAACAAAGCCAATTCGATCACTAAATTCACAGTCCCTTCCAAATACACAGCACCCATGTGCTGGAGGGGCTTAGGATAGTGCTACAAAAAACAGCATGGAGTCAACACCCACTACACCAATGATGGATTTAGGAAATAGTGAGATTATTTAAAACTGAAGTGTGTAATTTCTGCGGCAATAGCAAAAATGATTGTTTAAATAGACTGCCATTGGTTGGCCAAACACTGTCAATGTTGGTGCGTCGGATTGGTTGGGATGCTCAAATAAACAGAGCAATGTTTTCAGGGGAATATTAAATTGCATTCCTGGAAAAAGAGGTCCAAAAAAGTTGTTGGTGCACTGGTGCAGTACCCTTCCGTTGTACCTTATTTATAGGGCTGCAAAGGGTGGAACATTTCTGTAAACTTTCCAAAAATTTCTGCCTCTTTGCAACCCTACTTATTTCTACCCCTAAAGGGTTCATAATAGTACCTTAAAGCAGGGGTGTCCAATCCTGCTCCTGGATGGCCACTTGTCAGCAGAGTTTAGCTCTAGTTCCAGTTAAACACATCAGCTAAACAGCTAATCACGGTCTACAGAATCAGTAGAAACTTCCAGGCAAGTGTATTGAAACTGCTGAGAGCTAAACTCTGAAAAAGGTGGCCCTCCAGGAGCAAAATTAGACATCTCTGCCTTACATATCAGCACCAAAAATGTACCTATTAGTACCTAAATGGTACATATTAATACCATTTAGTAACACCCCAGGGATTGCTTTTTACAAAAGCGTGGGATAGGATAATTATTTTAACATCGAAATGACACACTTCGGATTTAAAGCTCAAGAATTGCAAGAAAAATGACAAGCAAATTAAATAAGAAAATAAAAGAAAACTGTGTTGAGACTAGCTACAGGTAGAGGGAGGCGCGTGGTCAACTCTCCAGCAGCTGTTTAAGGGCGCGCTCAATGTTCATGCGGTGACCGACGCGTGTCACGCCCAGCTCAGCGAAGTCCTCCTTGGTCAGAGCAGGCAGATGGGAGCCCTCGATCTCATGCTCTTGGAATCGCTCCCGGTGTTCAGACAGGTTAATGCTGGCCAGCCAGTCGCCAACGTCATACTTGTTCCACAGGTGGAGGGGCTTCTGGTGGAACGGCCGTAGGGTGAGCAGGGGGGAGGGCATGCCCGAGGAGGGGGCGGGCGAGGGAGAGCGACTCCGTGCGCTGGAGCTCCTCATGACGAAACGCACTTCTTTAGGTTCGTGAGGGAGACTGAGGCTAGACGACTTAAGGATGGTGGGGGGTATGATGGGAGAAGTGGCCAGACCGAATCCCCGGATGGGTCCCAGAGGATCTGAGCGGTCCGGGGAACCGGGACTGGGTGTCCGCCGGGTCATTGGGTAGCGGCTGCCTGGTCTGATGGTGTAGGTGGTGCCGTAGCCTCTCTGAGAGATAGTATGGAGCTCCCCCAAACTGCTGAAGAGTCTGGAAGTAGGGAACAGAAGAGAAAAGGAAGGGGGCAGATAGGATGAAAGTCAACTTTTTTTTTTTTTGTGAGAAACAGCTCAAAAAGAAAGCATCAGCTATGTTAGGACTCTACGTTGTTTGAGTTAGACGTGGTTAGTGACATGTTTAATTAATGCGTTTAGCCGTAATAATAGAAGTGCAAAGGTGTTACAGACCTGCGGTGCAAAGATAGAGAGAATACATCATGAGATCAAGGAAGAGCTTGGATTTTAGTTTTTAGAGTTTATAGTTCAGTCATGCAACTAAAATTTAAAGTGTTTTCTCCTAAAGGCCTGTTCACACCAAGCACGATAACTATAAAGATAACGATAAAGATATAGTTCTAAAAATCATTCTCAATATTAAAGAATAGCAGAGTCCACACCACAGCTATAACGATAAAGGCACAGAGAAACGAATCACTTTCAGAACGATTTTTTTTTCAGCTGATGAACGATAAAAACATTGACAGCCAATCAGAATCAATCCTGCTATAACGAGTTTGAGAATTTAAAGCAGCAGACGAGCGTGCGCTTACAGACAATATCGTTCGCCGGTGTGGACGCTAATATCGTTATCTTTATAGTTATCGTTCTTGGTGTGAACGGGGCTTTAGTCAATATGACATCAAAATTCAACCTATCTACACTGTAAAAACACCTTCTTAATGAGTTTGAATGCCTTTTTTTCATTTTTCAGTGAAAATATCTAAAAATCCCTAAATTTACTTGTGAAGCAAACCGCAAATAATATTAAGACTTGTTTTTATGCATTGTATCTTGAATATGCATACATTTTGTCTTACTGCACTGGCAGGTTAATTTTTTTAGAATCAATAAGGTAAAAACAAGTAAAAAATACTGGTAACAATTTACAAGAATTGTTTCATTTGTTAACATTAGTCTACATTTGATAGCATCTAAACTTCTAAATCGTTTTTTAAATGTTATGTATTTATGCTCAACATTTACTAATACATTATTGAAATGTAAAAGTTGTTAATATTATTTATTGGAGCTAAGCTCGCTTGAACTAACAATGAACAGTTGTATTTTAATGAACTAACATTAACAAAGATTAATACATTCTGTAACAAATGTATTGCTCATTGTTAGTTAATGTTAGTTAATCTTATGGTGTATGGCTTCACAAGTACATTTTTTTGTTTCAAGGATTTCTACATATTTTCAGATGACAATTGGACAAAAAGTTTAATTTAATTTAAATAATTTAAGATTATTAATTTTTAAATGTAATTTAGTTAAATAGAAACACACTAAATGCAGAGCAACTGACCAAATGCATATCCATATTAAATTTAATTTATAATTTTTTTGCCACTAAGTTTGTTAAGACCGTTTAAAAAACAGTTTATAAAGTTGAGCTGTTAAACTTTTGTTTAGTTCTGCATGCTACAACTGTAAAAGAATCTCGCTCTCCACTTAAAACCTGCCTCTGTGTGCAATGAAGTGAAGATCAGATGTAATTACACAATTAACAATCAATGGTAATGACTGGGGTGTTACATGAGTTTGAATGCAATCTGAATTAAATGTAAAACATGGCCAGATTTACACAGATTTTATGAGCACTACAGCAGAACACTGAAAGCACAACCAAACATGCAACACATGAGAAAACAACAGAAGACAGATGTGGAGACACGAATAACATCTCAACCTTCAGATTACTTATTGTATTATGTTGTGAAAAATATATAACAATATAGGATTCATAATTTGGGATTTTTACATAACTAGCCAAGTCAGCCATATTTTTCACCCCGGGTGAAGAGGACAGAACTTATTTAACAATACAGGTGCAAGCTCTGATCATTACCTATCATATCTGTAGAAGCAGTCTATGAAAAATCTAAATGAAATCTAATGCCCTATACTTAAATTGATCGAATCCTTTTGCCTCTGTAACTTGAGGATTGAGAATTAAGCAGCCAATGAAAAACATGGAAAAGCTGGGGTTTAGAGGGGCCTGGCCAAATTAGCACAAGGCGGGTCAGTAAATGAGGAAGGGTGGATGATGATCAGGGCTTGACTCAGAGGTGTGGAAACAGAAAAAACAGAGATGAGATGATTCATGCGCACTTACACAGGTGCCCGGCTCTTCTGGGCTTAGCCTCAAATTCAGCTCTAGATAGAGCAGCGTAGCATGCAAAGAGAGAGTGAGAGAAAGAGGGAGAGAGGGAGATGGAGAAAAAGAGAGAGAAACAGAGGGAGAGAGAGTGAGGGGCAATGAGAAAGAGAGAGAGAGAGCGGTCGGTTAGCATCAGTCCATGACAGAACAAAAACAAACACCACACACTTCACATCCTCAACAATGTCAATTGAATGCAAACCAAATGCTTAGCGACACAGATCAGAGCGCAGCTAGCCCCAGACCTCAGCTTTCAATGGTGGAACGTGCACATATAGACACTATCAATAAAGAGTGACTTTTGATGATGTGAAATTAAACACAGCATTTCTTTCAATACGTCCTCTGTCTGGGGTAAGGTGCCGTTCTGGTCAAATGAAACAAAAATTAAGCAAAATGAACAAATATGCATGAAAAATAAACAATGCATAAAACTACATGAGCAACAATTTTTCCAAGAAGAAGCCGGAGCGATCACTGTGTTAGCATGATTAATGGATGAAAGTGTCACAAAACACTTAGCGAGTACAGTAAGCTTGGACAGCATGTTTGAATGGAGAGAAAGAAAAAGAACGACTACACAGAAGAATTAGATATTATTATTACTATGATGACACTGTGATGATTATGTTGGTTTTATGTTGGATCATCCAATGTGAAATGACAACTTTCAGCTGGTGTAGTTAATTTCAATTCAATCCAGTTTTAAAATAACTTTATTGAGGGTTGGACAAACATGGGTTTATAGCTCACAATTACTGTGATAAACATGGGTCAAACAACACATTCATATCCTATGATGTTGCAAGAAAAAAACATCAGTCACACATGGATCCACATACATACTGCTAGCACAGTGCCATAGAGAAGCAGGCCGGAGGGAAAAGCTCACTGAGTTAGATGTGACAGAGTTTGGAAGGTGAGAGGTCGAAGCTTGAGATGGTGCATGCCCTCAGGCCATCTGTTACCTTGTGAACATCTCCAGGTGGTGATCACTGGAGCTACGAGTGTCTACCTCTTCCACCCCGGAGTCAGCAGCAGACTCTGGGCCCAGGTGGGACTCAGATGGCTTCCCTGAGGCTGCTTGCGGGCCACTGCTAGCAGGGACCTGTGCTGCTGCGGCGACCGCTGCTGGAGGGGCGGGGGGGGGGGGTGTTGCCGAGGGCAGGGCAGAAGGGGTTGTCTGCGCCAACGCAGGAGCAGGAGGTACTGCAGTTGCAGATGTCTTTCCAAGAAGGCCATTGGAAAATTCATCCGGTGGAGGAACAACACCGATTTTGCGGAGCTCCTCACGCGTCTCCTCGTCACTGGAAGAGAGCATGGCAGGTGGCAATGTGACCGTATAGGGTTCCACATCCTCCTCAGAACTACCCTGTGCCAGGGTTTTATCTGAGGACGGGCTGGGAGGTGGCTGGGAAGTTGGAGCTGTGGCTGGAGGCGGGGTGGATCTCGAAGGAGCATCGGGACCAGGGGACTTGGCGCGTTTTATTTCGGCTAACATGGGTTTCGGGCTCTCTGACAATGCCCCTTTGGGAGAGGGAGAGGGGACAGTGTGTTCTGGGCTGGGCCCCACGGCCTCCCCATTACTTGTTGCATGAACCATGATAAGCCCAGCAGTTTTCTGCTGAGACGTGTCCATGATGCTGATGATCATACTCTTCTTGTCCTCAATTTTCCTTTCCTCCTTCGATTCTGTCCTTGTTTCTAACTCTTTCCTGGTGGATATGGGACTTCCCCACTGGATTTTGCTGGTGGGGGCAGAGGTCTCGTAAATTCTTTTCGTTGCAGGGGAAAAGGGAGGTGAGGCAAACTCCCTCTCACCCTGTGACCGCTCAGCCTTTTTGGTCTGGGTCTCCATATACAGCACCCCTCCAGCAGCTTCATGTTTAGTTCTGGGCTCTGGGCTGCTTGAAGGGGACTGACTCTGGGAGGTTAATGCCCGTTCCCTTGCGGCCAGCGCAAGTGCCAATGGAGAGTTGGGGTCCAGGGGCTTGCCCGTCAGCGGGTGAATGAAGGTGGTGCCCCCAGGAGAGGGTCGCAACGCCAGGGCGGGAGGAGGCAACTGACCAAGTTCACGTGTGAGCATTCGTTCATCAACAGAACGGGATGGTGTGAGTGAGGGGGCCTCTGGGGGAGGTGCAGAACTGCCCTCCATAGTGCCCACTGATAGGAAGACTGTGGATTTCCGCCTCTCCTCCAGTCGACGTTCCCGGTCTTTCACAGCATCAGCAATGGCAGCAGCGAAAGGTCTCTTTCCTTGCAACAGTCCTTCAGCCTGAGCTTGACTGCGTTCCTGCAACAGCTGCTGCTGCTGCTGATAGAAATCAGCCCTGCTGGTATGGTGGGCAGCTAGGCGCCCAGAGGGAGAGTGCTCCCTCGCATGGATGGATGCCAGTGCTAGCGAGGCTCTCTCCTGAGCATCTTCCACCTGGAGTTGCTTTACAAGCGGGCTCTTCCTCCGTTGCGGCTTGCTCAGAGGCGGCGTGAATAGGCCCACGCTAAACTGGCCCACATTGGCGTAGGGGTTATCGATGAACCGACCTTTCCTCTTGATCCTTTCGGGCGGAGTTGAAACTGAACCTGGCCTGGGGATGTTAGTAGGCTCCACGGGAAGGTGGGAGGAGTCCTGCAGGATGATCATGGAGCGGGCTTTCTTCTGCCGATCCATGTGGGAGGCATGGCGAGGCGGCTCAAACAGCTCAGCAGACATTGTCTGTGGCAAAGCGTGCAGTCTTGGTTCAGAGCCTGGTTTGAAACTGGAACGGCTGGGGTCGTGAATGCGGCCAGGAGGAGTGGGTGGGCAGAACGAAGGAGGGGGTCCAGTATCTAGATAGTAAAGCGATGGGGGAGGTGGGGGAGCTGTTTGAGGAGGTGGAGGGATACTATGGCTGTCTCTCAGGCTGTCCGTCATGGAGGAGCTCCGCGGAAACCTGTGCTCTGCTGCCAGGGCAGACAGCCGATCCTCTTCAGTTGCTCCTGCACAGACAGACAGATAGATCTATAAAAATTTATTTTGGGTTTGGCTGAGCTTTGATGACGAACAAGTATGCAATAATTTACAGATTTGATCTTTGGTCTTTCCTTTTACTGCTTCCCTTATTCTTGGCATTCCAAATGTTACTGTGTGTCAAAGTTCTGCATTTAACCCTCTAAGAACCAAAGTCGCAAAATTGTGACAAGACGTCATACTTAATAAAATAGACCGTAGTTCCTAATATGGTGTAATATCTCATTTGTATTCCCCACCACTAGATGGCAGACATGCAGTACTTCGATTCTAGACCAAAATTACGTCACGTTCCTATTCAAAGTGGTCGAGGAAATAGCAGAGCAAGTGAACTATCGTGTCATTGATGCGGAAGCAGTTCAGCTCATAGCGTGCGAGTAAATTGTGATTAACCCTCTTAGCGCCAAAGTCGCAAAATTGCGACAAGACGTCATACTTAATCAAATAGACTGTAGTTCCTAATATGGTGTAATATCTCATTTGTATTCCCTACCACTAGATGGCAGACATGTAGTACTTCGATTCTAGACCAAAATTACGTCACGTTCCTATTCAAAGTGGTCGAGGAAATAGCAGAGCAAGTGAACTATCGTGTCATTGATGCGGAAGCAGTAGTCTAATAATCGCGCTTCTCCCGGTACATCTTTGCAGCGCAATGGTGCTGCCATGCAAGGCGAGAGTGTTCACGAAGCACAAACAAGTGATCATTTCGACCCTTTACCCAACGGGGATGGGGGTGGCAGCAGTGGACGTGGTCATTGTGTCCATAGGAGAGCTGTTGCTAGAGGTAGAGGCAGCAGGGGTAGGAGAAATAGGGCTGGAAGTAGCACTAGCTCTTTGGATCC